TATCCTCGCGCAACGATCCCGCCTTGGGCACGACGACTCGACCACGATAAAGGAGCAAGCCATCGTGCATGTCATGGTCCTCGTCCTCGTCGTGTCCTACGTTCAGCTTCTGGATCACGTCCTGGCAATGTGCATCCTCGTCTTGTACCTTCTGAAGTTCAGCCCAAACGGCCCACGTTGGTCCCGTCACTGCGTCGAGCTCGGCCACGTCTTCCCGGCGAGACAATGCATCAGCCACGGTGTTCTGGCGACCCGGTCGATACACTATCTCGAAGTCGAATCCCATCAACTTGGATACGAACTTCTGCTGCTCGGGCGTCACGATCCTTTGCTCGAGCAAGTGCTTGAGCGACTGCTGGTCCGTAACAATTCGAAAGCGTCGCCCAAGCAAGTATGGTCTCTACACGCGTAAGGCCTCGACCACGGCCAGCATCTCCTTCACGTACGCGGACAGCCCCAAGCGCGCCAGCCCGAGTGCCTTGCTGAGATAGGCCAAGGGCCGACCTTCCTGCACTAGAACCGCACCAATTCCAATGTCGCTCGCATCCGAGTGAATCTCGAACAACACATCAAACCTCGGCATCGCGAGCACGGGTGTGGTCGTCATGGCCTCCTTTAGTTCCTAGAAAGCCTTTTTGCTCGCCTCCGTCCACTTGAATGCTCCTTTCTTCGTCATTTCCATAAGTGTCTTAGCGATGGTCCCATAGTCCTTCACGAATTTTTGATAATAGCCCGTGAGACCAAGGAACCCTCGCAACTGCGTCAAGCTCGCGGGCTTCGGCCACCCCACCATCGCCTCGATCTTCCTTGGGTCCACCTTAACACCCTCATGAGAAATAAAGTGCCCAAGGTATTCGACCACCTCTTGAGCAAACGAGCACTTGGACGGCTTGATATAAAATGAGTTAGCCGCCAAAATCTTCAAAACAACTCGCAAGTGCTCAAGATGATCTGTCCATGTTTTTCAGTACACCAAAATGTCATCAAAGAATACTAACACAAACTTACGAAGGTACTCCTTGAAGATTGAATTCATCGCAAACTGAAATGTCGACGGTGCATTGCATAAACGAAAAGGCATCACTAGATATTCGTAGTGTCCTTGGTGCGTGCGAAAAGCCGTCTGGGGCACGTCCTCCTTGGCCAACCTGATCTGATGGTAGCCCGCACGTAGGTCGAGCTTAGAGAAGTAACGCGCGCCACCCAACTCGTCCAACATGTCGTCGACACTCAGAATGGGAAAGCAATCCTTCACAGTAGCCGCATTGAGAGCGCGGTAGTCCGTGCAGAACCGCCAAGTCCCGTCCTTCTTCTTTGCGAGCAACACCAGTGACGAGAACGGGCTCGAGCTATGCTGGATGAGCCCAGACTCGAGCATCTCACCCACCTGCCGCTCGATCTTCGTCTTTTGGAAGTGTACGTATCGATACGGATGCACGTGCACTGCTCGACCTTCCTCGACCAAAGGTATGCGGTGGTCGAACTCTCGGTGTGGCGGCAGTCCCTTGGGCTCGTCGAGGACCTGGTCTAACTCCTCGAGCAAGTCACACACCTCACGCTGCCTCTTCTCGACCACTTGGTCGAACTTCTCACGCACCATGAGCTGCCTCTCCTCGACCACTGGGTCGAACTCCTCGACCACCTCCGCGTCTTTGCCTGTCTGGTCGACCACGACAGCATACAACTGTCTGCCACCTCGCCACACCTTCTCGATGCTTTTTAGACCAACCTCCTTGGTTGCTCCTTCACTAGCCTTCAAGGTAACGAGCTGATCACCGGCCTCGAACTTCATCACACCCTTCCGGTAATTAGTCATCACATCTCCTAGTCCCTCGAGCCACTGCACCCCAAGCACCACATCTGGTCCCACCAAAGGTAAGGCAAACAAATCCGCCTTCATCGTCACTCCTTGAAACTTGATCGGCACGCCCCGGTACATCTTCGAGCACCGCAAGCGCTCGTCATTCGCCACCCTAACCTCGAACGACTCAATCGTGGTTGTGGGAAACTTGAGTTTGTGCGAGAGAGTCGCATTAATGAAATTGTGCGACGACCCATTGTCCACGAGTACCGTAACCCGCCGATCCTTCAACCACGCCGGTAACTTCATAGTCCTCAGGCCTTTAGTGCCCGCCATCACATGGACTGAGATCTCGGCCTCGTCATTGAGCACCTCAACCTCCACCACCCGTTCTTCCTCGATCATCGGCTCCTCGTCATCCGAGTCCATGAACTCGATCAAGAAATTTTGCTTGCACCGATGTCCCGGCGTGTACTTTTCCTCGCACCGGAAACACAGCCCCTTCTCACGTCTCCGTGCCATCTCCTCCTCCGTCAACCTCTTCACCTCAGTTGCTGGGGGCCTAAATGTGCCCGGCGGCATCGCGTTTGCACTAGGTGCGCCCACGGACACCGGCACACGCCGCGGCTCCGGGACAAGAAAATTTGCCCGTCCCCTTTGAGTCGCGGCCAAGTGTTCCTCCCGTCTCCTAGCAACATCCATGGCCTTATGCATGGTCTCCGGCCTCTCCAATCGTACTTCAGCCGCGAGATCATACCTAAGCCCTCCAACAAACGCGCCAACAAGCACGCTCTCTGGCCACCCGCGAACCCGGCACGCCAATCTGTCGAACTCTTTTTGGTAGTCACGTACACTCCCCGTCTGCCGGATTCGAGTAAGCGCCTTGTCGTGGTTATGATAGTCTGAGTCCCCGAAACGTGTAAGGAGCTCGCGCTCAAAA